GGAAATTATTTTATTTGTAGACAGTTCCAGAACAATAGAGGTCGTCTACGCTACAAATGTTTCAAAACTGGGTATATGCTTTAACAGTTCTATGAAAAAGAAAATCGTATGTCTGGTGTGCTCAAATGGTTCTTCAAAAAATAATTAGATGTCACGGAAGTTTGACTTGAAATGGTTGATGAGTCTCAGATGACTATACCACGTCCATCGTTTTACAAGATACTTTCTTTACGAGGAAAGTGTTTAAATGTTTATCTATCCCTGACTGTAGATTTTTCACTATCACATTCCTCTGCCAAGTATTTGACAGATTGCTTTGAGATTTACTTCTTCTGCTCCTCCACATATGCCAGAGAAACGACATTTTTTCCATCGGTGCCTACTTTTAGGTACATAATATAAAAATCTTCAAAATTAACGCTCAACTACGCTAAACAAGTTTTATTGCCAGCTTATGGGCGCATCAATGGAGACTTCAATTGGATTGCAATTCTCTAATATCTTATGAAATAAATTGATTAATTCAGATGCATAGAACAAAGTCATTCAGAGCAGTGAGTTCGTAGATAATTTAAATCTATTGAACGCAAAAAAGTAATTTTATTTTGATTTAAGTATTATCTCTTTTCATTTCAACGACATCTTCTTCATTTATTCAGATTATTCAAAGCATTCATTTATTGCCAAACAATATTTGACAAAATTTTTCTTAATAATTTTTTTTCGTTTTTTTTTTTTAATTTTCACTGCTCATTATATTTTGTTTCATATCGTAAAGAGTAAGCCAATAAGATGAAGGAAGAGTTTTTGAACAGAAGACGCCCGTTGTCGTATCGCATTTTACGCTTAAATCTAGTTTTTAATCCTATTGCTCCTGTTGATGTTGAAAAGTATGAATTGAAAGCAAAGAATGCCTCATTGCCGTAAATTGCGTTTTCGTGCACATTTTGTCAACTTATTTACCAGCAGCAGGAAGTCATACACTATTTTGGTCCACGCCAGCGCCCACCGACACGCACATCACTCACAGCCCAGACATTTATAACACGGTTTATTCTCTCCTTCTTGCATTCACCTTAACTAAAGTCTGCTTCATGTCTTTCGACGTGCAACGATTTTTCGAATTTCTTTTCTGCTTTATTTTAAATTCTTTTTTTACTCTCTATCCCCTTCATTCCGTTGTCAATTCAACGGCAATGAATTTTGAACATTTTTTTCCACCTCGTCGACGTTGAGCTTTGCTATTATCGCCCTGTACATAAATCAATTTGTCTTTGGAAATTGGCAGTTGCAGCGCGTGCAACTTGCAACTTGCAACTTTTCATTGCCTCGTCGTCCTTTACTGATGTTTGCCCTTTTTGTTGTTATTGCTCATTTTTGCGCTTTTCATCTTTCATTTATTTCAATCGTGAATGTCGAATTTTTTTTATTTTATTATTATTTTTTTTTGCTTGTTTCTGCGTAGATTCAGAAACATCACATTCTACTTTAGACTCTAGACTTCTAAGTAGATGCAAATGATGTTGCAACAAATGCCTTCTCTTGTCTATTCTTGTTGCCTCAGCAAGCGACGGTGTCACAACAACCTAACAGTCAACAGCTAATTAAATTGATGATGCGCAAAATTTGTTTTTTTTTTTTTTTTTGAAAAATAAGTGCGAAGCATAGATGTTATCTCGACGTGAGGTGAATTGAAATTAGTGTTTATTGTTAGTTAAATCGGAAAATAAATTGAGCACACGAACACCGCTATCCTCTTATTTACAAGAATAAATTATTATTTTTATCCTTTTTGAATATAAAGCAACAAAGTTAACTTAAATAAAAATCCATAGGAAATCATTTAAAAGAAAATAACATTTATAAATAAAAACCGATGAAAATTGAATGAAATAAATTTTAATTAAATTAAAGTTATTCAAAATATATAAAAAGAAAATGTTATAAAAAGTGTAACAAAATAAAATAAAACGAAAAAAAGATAAAATAAATAATAAAATAAAATGAATTAAAATAAAATAATACAAAATTAAATATAACAGAATAAAATAAAACAAAACAAAAATAAGATAATTTAAAAAAAAAAAAAACAAAATAATATCAAATGCGATGACTGTTTGTTTGATGACCGGAGATATTTCGTCTTGTCCTTGTTCACTACCAGACCCATTCGCTTCGCTTCTTTATCAAGCCTGGAAAAAGCAGAACTAGCGGTGCGGTTGTTGAGGCCGATAATGTCAATATCATCAGCGTACGCCAGTAATTGTACACTCTTATAGAAGATTGTACCTGCTCTATTCAGCTCTGCAGCTCTTATTAATATATCCAGCATCAAATTCAAGAAATCGCACGACAAAGATTCATCCTGTCTGAACAAACCTCTTTTGGTATCGAATGGAACGGAAAGGTCCTTCCTAAATCTGACTGCGCTTCTGGCGTTGTCTAGCGTCAGAAAAATGTATACGGCTGTGTAGTATAAATTTTGCGGAAATACCAAATTCAGACATAACGGCATAAAGGCAGCTCCTTCTCGTGCTATCGAAGGCGGCTTTCAAATCCGCTGAGGTGTGGTGGGTGTCGATCCTCTTTTCACGGGTCTTTTCTAAGATATATCGCAGGTCTGAAGCCACACTGACAAGGTCCAATCAGTTTGTTGACGGTGGGCTTCAGTCTTTCATAAAATAGGGCCTCTTTTTTGTAAAATAAAGTAACATAAAATAAGTAAAATAAAGTTAAATAAAGTATAATAAAATAAAATAAAATAAAAAAAAATAAAATAAAATAAAATAAAATAAAATAAAATAAAATAAAATAAAATAAAATAAAATAAAATAAAATAAAATAAAATAAAATGAAATAAAATAAAATAAAATAAAACCAAATAAAATAAAATAAAAAAAAAAATGAAATAAAATAAAATAAAATGAATTGTTGTATATTAAAAAGGAAGAAACTGAAAAGAAGCAAGCTGAAATGAAAAAAATACGTAACAAATAAAATTTAATATAAAATGCAATTTGACATAATATAATATAAATAAAAAAATTAATGAAATTAAATCGTTTTGAAAAAATTAGTTTATATTGTATAATATTATATAGTAAAATAAATACCATGAAGATTGTGAAAAAAATATAAGTAAAGTAAGGCACAACCAAATACAATAAAAAATTAAAGAGAATTTAATAAAAATGAATTAAACAGGCTTAAATGAAATAAAATACAAATTTTATACACTAATTTGTTTTTAATGGAAAATAGTATTTAACAAATATAGAAAATTATAAATTTTATTACAGAAATATAATAGTAAATAAGATTACTAAAATGTATTTTTCTTCTCATTTCAGGTGCGTACGTACATTACATAAATCTGCTTGGTAAGAAATTTATTTCTAATATTTTCTGAATAAAACACTTGTGACTCATCACTTATGCAAATCGGAATTTGTTGGGAGTCTTTTTATTAATAATTTATGTATCACTTTCAAATCTAAAATCTTCAAATATGTCCAGACAATAACTTTGGTGATTCATATTTTTAAAATAAAATATAAACTGCAAAAACTATTTGCTGGTTTACACTCCCATAAATCTGTAATTATCTTGCTGTTTTAATATCAAAAGTCTACATTGGTCTCCATATAAACGTTTTTAGGTAGACAAATTTTATCGCTTTCATAAATGTTGAAAAAACCGAAAAACTTCCAAATCCAGGTGTGCGCATAAATTTTTATTAGTTCAGCGAAAAGCTAATCAAAATACTTACAAAGAGCGCAGATTCATTTCGGATTTTGATTCTAAGCATTTGCCTTTTTTTATTTAATTAAGTTATTTCTTCTCATTGCACATGTGTATATACACGTATGTACATGTGTACTCTCGTTCTTTATTTTCCATTTCTCGGTTTAACATATGCCTTTTTTATCTTATCTGTTTGTTTGTCAGCTTCTCAGGGTTCTGCCGCTGGGGTATGAGTTATAGAATGAGCATATTACAAAGCAAAGGTTAAAATACGAACAGTTAACTCATCTGCATTAGATTATTTGCGATATTGCGGTATCTTATATATTTTCATTTGTTTTTGTATTGTAAGAAATAAACAAAATCATATTTTTTCTGCTTCGTGTAATATACGTTATACATATTTGGTGATTTTCGCTGCATTATCCCACCACAGGCAATTTAGGGAGTGAAGGCTGCTCAGCCCAGAAAGCAAAATTTAATCAATAAAAATATAACCACAATTTGTCGTATTTACTTTTTCTTGTTACTGTATTTATTTAAATAAAAGCAGTGATGCCGCCGAAGCAACCCCTGACGGCAAGCTTTTAGAAAGCATTATTTTTCCCCAAATGAATTAAATTTTATTTTTTGTTCACCGCTTGCAAAACTAGCAGATAGTAAACTATGAGAACAAATATTTTATTTTGATCTTAGCAAATAAAGCCCAAAAATGATAACAAAACTCGCAAAAATGGTATAATTCCCTTCAGAGAGAATGAAGTGAGAACATTTTAGAGGAAAAATTTAAACGTTTTTCTACAGTGATTTCAGAATAAATAATATGAAGTTTTAAATTCCTTAAATCAGTAAGTTGAACTCCGTAAAGAGCCACACAAATGGAAATAAGTTTTTTATAAATAAATATCAACTCAAAAGGTACGCAAGTTTTAATCTAAGAAGATGACAATAATAAATAAGTGCGATATATCCAAAGGAAGTGTGATACTGTACGTACATAATTTCATCTTTATCGAAAAAAAGTCAACCCTTAATTTCAGTGTTTTTTTTTATGAGCCAATATATGCTTAACCTCCTTAAATCCTTAAAGTGTGAAACTCTCTTCTTACCTATGGTACATTTATTTCATTATTCTCTTGCTTATACTCTTATTTCGAATTCTTTCAAATACGTTGCTCTACCTCTTTAAGATTTTATAATTCTCACTCGCTTTAAACTGATTCCCAATTAAAGTCCTTTCAGTTTGCTGTGTTAAATTACCTTGACTTCTCTTCAAGTCTCGTATAAATCTTTCGCCTTTTACTAAAGATTTCCGTGGAGAGGAGTCAATAATAGGTCTATAAGAATTTTTTGAAGGTTCGTCTATCCTTTCGAGGTCAGTGATGAGCCGATAATGAATAAATGAATACATTTAAATACTGTTTACCACACTTTATACGAGGCTCGTTTTCTATCGATAACTTCAAATTGCATTCGCTTCAGCAAATTAGCATTTATTTTTTTTTTATTTTTACTATGAAAAGCTATTTTTTTCATTTTTGGTTTAACAAATGAGTAAGAAATTAAGAAAAATCTTCAAGAAAATTTAATCAAATTCTTTTATGATTTTTTAGTACAAAAACAGTAAAAGAATTTATATATTTATATACTTTTTTTTCAAAAAATTAGAAATTAAAAAAGCAAAAAAAATGTACATATATATATAACTAGCATGCAGGTTTTTACATTTTTATTAATTTTTTTTTCTAATTTTTTTTTGTTTGTTTTTGACATTGGCCTTGATAACGACAATTGTATAAACAAAAGTTGTCAAAACTACGTTGGCTCAGCGTGGGAAGCAATTAAATAGTTTTCACTAATTAAAATGTATTTATATGTAGACAGGAGTGTTATGGAGAATTTTGCATTTCATATAAATTTTATTAACTAGAATTTATTGCGCAATAATAAATCATTTGAAATGATGTACCTTTGTGTTTTTCTTTAAACCTTTTAATATATTTTTAAAACCACCTTGACATTTGTAGGTGTCAAATAAACATATTCATATAGAGATATGTATATGTTTGAATTTCTTTTGACAGCTCTACAAGCCACATTACTCATCTTCAGTTGTCTGCTCTCATTATCACACTCTACAGCCAACATGGAATAATAAGGCCGGTTGGAGTACTCCTGTGTGAAGACGCCTGTGGTGACTAGTCACATCAGTCCAACTAAAATTTCTTACTAGTTAAGTATATATGTAATGTATGCAACATACTATTCCAATTCTATTTACATACGTGTATATGCCAAGCATTCAGGCCAATTCAATTTCGTATTCAATTCAATTACAAATTGATTTATTATTGCGGACAACCACCAGCAGTGTTACTGGTTTCTATGTATTGTACAAAAGCAAAAACAATAGAAGTACTTGAAGTCAAATACATACAAGCATACACATGTTCACATGATCTTCTTATTTTAACTCAGTCATGAGAATGATGAGCAGGTAACCATCAGAGCGCCAGCTGTTCAATTCTCCCTTAGTGCTCCCTTTTGCGCATGCGTTGTAATTGGAAATCGACTAGCGAGGAGTGTGTTGAATAGGCTAATAGAGCGCAATTGAAAATCCCTGTGGTGCGCAGCAGTTGGTCAGCTCAAATACTATCCAAATTGGTTTTTGTGTATTAAATAATTTATTACTACAGAAATTGCTCTACTTTAAGAGGGCAATTCTTCTATAATGGCTGATTAGCCAAACTCTTGCTTAGTGCTGCTAATTAATGAGACATTTTCTACTTGTTCACTTGCTTTTACAGATATCCATATAATTGAGATGGTTTTATTTTGAAATGCCGCATAAAAAAATTACCTGACATACAATTTACGCATTTTACTTTACAGAAGAAGCATAGAAAAACGAAACTTTTTTCAAAATAACGTAACTTCACTTAGCGTAAATTTATTCATTATCGGCTCAAGACTAACCTCGAAAGGAAAATTAAGCCTTCAAAAAATTTTAAGCACCTTTTATTGACTCCTCTCCACGGAAATCTTTAGTAAAAGGCGAAAGATTTATTCGAGACTTGAAGAGAAGTCAAGGTAATTTAGCACAGCGAACTGAAGGGACTTTAATTGGGAATACGTTAAAAGCGTTTGAGAATTACAAAACCGTTATGAATCTTACCAGAATTGAAGAACAATAGACAATTGAGTATAACACACGTCTGCATTAGAAAAGCTCTACCCTTTAGGGATGATTCTGCGGATATCGCGTCGCCTGCGTGCATTTGAAAAGGAGCTAAAAATAAGGGTTGGTTTCTTTTGGGGAAAGTCATATCGAAAAAAATGGCATTTAATTGGCGATCTTTGTGTCACAGAGCATATAATTATTTATACAATTTTTAATGGTCTTTTAAGGAAAAAAATTCTTTTCGAATCATATGAGAAGAAGAGCACTTTGATCTAAGCTCTTCTTCATATTATCTGTAAAATAGGACTGAGAGTTTTCCAATTTTTTCAGCTTAAATTTTCCACCTTACTTGTATCCCTATTTTAAAGAAATTTTTCCTTTTCGCATATTCTCGTTTTGACTTCTCGGCCTTATGGCTATGCGACTACGTTAACTCTGCTTAGGGACAGGTTAAAAATCAAGCTAAGTCACCGAGGTTAGTGCAACAACAACAGGAAAACAGTCAAATACTTATTATAGCTAAGAAATGAATGCAGTAAAGTTACAAGGACAACACTTTTTATATACCTACAATATATGTATGTAATACCCTTCGTACTCTTAAGCCAGAGCATCCATACATTTTTACGGCTTCACGTAATAACGAAGAATTCACACATTCATTAGAGGGTACAAACTTGCTGCTTCACTGAATATCTTTCTTCAAGTAAAAAGGCAGAATACGCAAACTACTTTGGAAAAATACAAAAGCATAATTATACAAACAAACAAGCAAATAAAATAACGAAGGAAATATTCAGGCTCAAGAGAGTGGTGCTCTCAATATATGGTCTTGGTCTTCATGTTATTTAATTTTCACTCGCTGCGAAATAATAGATGTTCAAGTCAAAATAAAATAAAAAAGTATTTCTTCATTTGCCTATCTGCAAATTAATAGTTAAACCTCAACTCACCCTCAATCAACTAGTGAATAACTAGTCTGCGAACAACGCAGTTATTATAGTCACCTCATACATTAATTACATATTTGCGATTCCCATCAACATACCAACAATTTTAGCATGACGGGTATTGGAATGTGAAAAATTTTTACTCGTGTTGATGATTCACCTGATTATTTATCTGATGAATGGGATGGCCAAGTAGTGAGTGTAATGCGGTTGCCAGGCGCATGAATTGTCAGTTTTTCATCTTTTTTGTTGTAACTTAATTATTCTCTACATATTTCAAGCATTAATGTTTTGGTTAAAGATATTTGTTGCTGTGTTGATGCTTTTTTTTCAATTTCACTTTCATTTTGGATTTTTTGGCATTGAATAAAAATAAATATTTACACACATACGTGCACTGTTTGTATGTACAAGTGCACTTGACCTAATAAATTATTTGTTAAATAAATTTGCTAATTCAATATTTGTAAAACTTGGAAGTTTTTTTTTTTTTGCAAATATGAAATTTTTATTAGAAAAAAGAAATGCAAAAAAAATTATAAAATAATAAAAATTATTTATTTTTCTTAATGAAAGCATATAAAGCAAGTAAAAAGTTCGTTCGGTTTTTTTGACTGATTTTTCTAAGTAATTATATCCCTCTCGTGGAAGTCTGCAACCCTATTGGCGAAAAATCTGGGAAAGCCATTTTTTACAGCTTTCTCTTTAGTCCAACTTCTTACCATTAAGTGCGTTCGACATGGGCAGGAAGAGATAGTAATCACTTTGTGCCAGGCCCGGACTATAAGGGACTATAAGGTGGGTGCATTAGGACCTCTCATACGATCTCCTGGAGCTTCTGGTGCGTTCCTGATGGAACACAATTCGGCCTCTGCTGATCAAAGATGGCCTCTTTTGGATGAGTGCTGCCTTCAAGCGGTCCAGTAGTTAGCAGTAGAGGGCCTAATTGGGCATTTGGCCATAGGGGAGCAGCTCGTAGTAGATGATTCCTTGCCAATCCCACAAAACACACAACAAAACCTGGTGCATCTTTGACATCGAAATTACCGGAACGGAGCCTAGCAAACCACTTTTGTGCTACATGTTCATTTACAGTATCGGGCCCGTAAACTAAATAAATTTTATCTTTGCTGGTGTCCATCTTTGACGAGCGCTCACATCGTACTGAGTAAATCAATCGAAAAACTGTCAAACAAACTTTTAGCCCGAATAAACACGTTTTTAACGCCGTTGAGTATGACATGATGCGGCACGTAACACTAGTACTATGGACAATAACGCCATCTTTGAGATAAAAGCCGAACGAACTATTTACTTTACCTAATATATACAACTACATACATATTTGTGCGATTCAGATCTTTGTTGATGGTTGAATTATTAAAATATATACTCGCATATCATAATTCCTACACATCCAAGCGGTTTACGGAAGCGCACGAGGTTCTTGCTTAAATTGAACTCAGACGCAGAAAAATAATTACATTTTAAATTTAATCGGTGTGTCATACGAATATATGTACATATCAGAACTTCTATAGCGTATTTACAGAGCGACCAGAAGTCTATTTATATGCACAGCCCATGCAATTTTCGAAATAAATTTTGTTTTTCGAACTTTTTTCCGATAAATCAAATCATTTTAATTTGCAGAAAATGATACTTTGAAAAACTTTCTAATTTATTGTGTATTTTGTTAAATAGAAATGATTTGACTTAATTTGTATTTTAGTTTTAATTACATTCAATCATTTTTGCTTACAAAATTATTACTTTTTTCTTAAAATAAATATTGGGTTTCCTTAAAGCTAGTTATTTTTATTTCTTTGGCTTTTTGTTGTTGTATGGAGTTAATATTATTTATAGCTGCCTTCTCATTGGATTTTAAACAGTTTTCGATGAAATGTAAATTTTTTCTCACATTTTCAATCAATTATTTCGCCACGAAGGCATTCTTCTTAAAATATTAAGTTTTTTATTTTTATAGGTATTCAAAAAGTGTGTTTTTTGAAGCTACACAAAGAACTTTGAACTTTTTCGGACCATTTGTGGTTGTATTGAAACTGTTCCCGCTTTTGCGGAAAGGTATTAACTGTTCCCACTTTACAATCTTTACATTGATAACAATTTATTTTCATTTTTCTATTAAGTATATAATACTGTTCCACTTGTGCAGTTATGCACGTATGTAAATACTTCCATTATAAACATTTTATCTCATATTTTTCTTAGTCGTTTTGGTTTTGTTTTGGAAACTGTAGTGTTTAAAGAGATACTTGTTATTTATTTTTTATTTACCTACTCTTTTAATCTTTTAAATTTTCCAAATTATGAAAATTGTTATGAAACTGTACCTTAAATTCTTTGCTTTGGAGAGTTCCATTTAAACGAAAATGTTTACTATTAAACTGTTCCCACTTTTTACAAAACTGTTCCCAAAGTTTGAACAACTCATTTGCTCTTTTTTCACACTAAAATCTTTGTTTTTTTGTTTTTGAAATGGGTATTTAATTTTACCGCTATAGCCTAACTTACATAAAATAACCTATGTTTACCGTATACTCATTATCTCTACGACTCTTAAGTGCTATAGTATACTTAAGCCACTTAAATTTTAATTATCACACTGCAATAAATAGAATACCATCCCCACCCAACCGTTCACACTTTCGTACAGAACTGTTCATGGTTAAGTTTACTGTTGCCCGTATTCTGCTGCTGCAACGACTCGACACTACCACCGTCTTCGCATCCGTAAGCATATGGTGGCGATGTTGGGATGATCTCATTCAGCGTCGTGCTCGTATCCTGACGTGGCAACTCCACACGCTGGCTCTCCCTCGGCATGCCAAAGTCCTTAGTAATGTAACGCGCTGTTATCAACGCCATCAGTACACCTAACAGACCACCGAAAAGGACATCCGACCAGTGATGCCAATAGTCCATCACACGCGACAGCGCAGTAAACCAAGCCAGCATGACGAGAGCGAACTGTAGGAAATGACGCGTCAACTGTGAACCTCGCCAAGTGACTTTATAATGCAGATAGATGGCCATGTAAACGAGCGCAAAGAAGCTCAAGCTCGAATGGCCGCTGGGAAAGGAGAGACGCGATTGCTCTACATCATCCAACGTAAAACCGTTGCCCAAACAGATGTATTTCTCCACATAACGATATTGGTTTTGCGGTGAATCGCAAGTACTGCCGTCCAGCAATTGCGGTTGACAAACACTAATGAAATGTGGACGCAAGCGACCGATTGTAAATTTGCCCACCTCCGTCGCTTCGAACGTTAGAAGGCCGCCAAAGCTAAAATAAAGCGCATGCTTTACACACTCCACCAACAATGTGGGCACACTAAAACCGAAAAGCAAGATACGCTCCTGTAAGCGTCCGCGGCGATGAAAGAGCGTAAATTCAACTATAATAATTATAATAGCCGGCACGCCCACGACGATCACTGCGAGTATTGCTGTTGTGATGGTATTTTTGTGGAAAGGATAACGTATAGTCTCATCCGAACAGAAGAAGCCACGATGAAATGGCTCAATTACGAACTCAAATATGATTATCGGCACTACGAGCACAATAAATATGATCAGATCGATCAGCAAGCTGCGCAGGAGACGACGCTCTTCTGTGGTGAGATTGCTGCCTTTCATTGTCACTGGAATTACTACGGATCTTCTGATGACGGATCTTTTTTAAGTGGAACTTGTTTGATTTATATTTCAGCTTTTATTCTATCCTCTACTTTTTTACACAAGAATCTTTTAATTGAACTTGACTAATTTTTAGTCTGAGTATTATGAGTATATATATGTAAGTATTTTTTCCAGCACTCGAGTTTCAGTTCGTTCGTTTTTTGCGCGTTCAGCGTTGCGTATCGTAGGATCGTTTATAACTGAGTGCTTTTACGCTGCTTACAACTAATTTATTTCAGAATCTCTACTACAGTCATTCACAAACGTCGCTCCCACAAAGTACACAAAAAACCATACAATTAACCAGCCAACAAACACAATAAAATATGCCAGCTTCGTCAGTTACGCTTACTAGTATTATGCGCTGCGCTCTTAGCGCGTTCTACCCTTCTCTCACTCTCTCTCTCTTTCGCTATTGCTCTGCTGTTTACTGCTCTGCCGCAAGTGAAACTTTCATTCAAGCAGAACTCACACTCCCTTCCAGCCCAATGTGTGTCTGTGCGATTTTTTATTTAAATGTCACTTGATTAACCCGAATTCGTTGATTATCCAGCGCCCGTTTATTTCTTTTTCTCTGTTATTGCCTTCTTAGTGATCATCCCTGAAGGCACGTTTGTTGAAACGATCATAGTGATCGTGTACGAAAAATTGCGCGCCGAAATTTATATACAAATCTTCTCCTCATTTATGGGTACCGGCCTTCGGCTTTCTACAAATTTTTTATTACACTTAAATACAATATGACTTGCGCTTTTCTTTACGGCACAACTGAAATTGGACTTGTGCAACAAGTACGAGTGAAGATCACTTGATAAGATAATTGAGTGTCTGCGCCAGTCGGAGTGGAACAGCAGCAAATATTGTAAATAATATTTACAAACAAAAGTGAGCATGTGTAGCATTAAGGAAAAGAAGTAAGGACGTGTAAGGTTCAAGTGGGAAGGGAATAACTTTTTTGGCATTTTTTTCTTTCGATGTAAATACAAACGAAGACTGTAAAATCGAAGCCGAGTTTACACTTTTCGTGGTAGAAAAACCTGGCAAATGATTCTATAGTTCAGATCTTTTCTTTCCCTTCTTGCAATAGCTCTTAAAAGGAATCTTGAAGCCGTAGAAAGTTTGAAGAGAAAATGCAAGCATTCATCGTGAGACGACGATCGGAAAAGTTCATGTTAGGTTTGAGAGTCTTTTCACGAAAGCTGGCGATCGGCATATGGCTAACCCTATAACTTGTTAGGAATAAAACTGCCCCTTACTCACTAAGTTTAAATGCAAATTATGCACCCGACTCTTCAAAAAGCAGTTACTGCACTTGACATGCTTTTGGTGCGCTTGCTCCCTGTAGTTCCTTTAAGAGAGGCCTGGCAGAATCACAAGTCAAGAACATAAAACCAGCTCCTTCTGCGCATTTTATCCAGTACCAAGTATTCACCGATTAAGCATTGGCCATATTTTGAATAATAAATCTTATTTTGTACCTCTTAGTGAACAAATTTTAAGTACCCTTTAAGCCAGCGCATATCAAAAAAACTTGATAAGAACAGCAACAAGTGGGATCCATAATCGTTAGCAATGAATAGGTGAACATTGTTCTGAAAAAGCACTTCAACATGTTGAGTAATCATAACAAAATAAATAAAGCAAAAGATGACTAATTCTACGCAAAAATATTTATTTAATATTTCAGACACAAAAACAAATAGTAATAAAACAAAAAGCAATAGTAAAAGCAATGTCACGGCTAAACAGTAGTTAGATAGAACAGATAGTTTTCGATTTTTATTTTTATTTTGTTTTTTTTTTTTGGAGCCGAAATGATTATCGAAACCAACACAAGTGCATTGGAGCATATCACGCAAATAACAAATACCTGTTGCGCCTCAATTAGATAGCGCCCCCATTACTCATGCCACCTACACATTTGACCGGCCCGAGCTTTGAAAGCTGTGCGCTCGCGTTCGCTTACTGCTCTGACACGATCACTTACGCTCTTTACCTATGGCTCAGCTCTCTTCCTTATTGCATAACTTTCAATTCACTCATTTCACACTTTCATTGTATTTGTTCACGTGCGCACTGTTTTGTTTGGCTCGTTGTTTGTTGTGATATAAAGATTTATAACAACTGAACGTAAAGATCTTCAAGGGAACACTACGACATACGGACAAGTTTATGGTTTACTACTCACTGCTGTCATTGATACTCAATGATTTTTGTAAATACGTCATATTGATAAAGCGTATGTCTCTCGCTGCCCAAACTGCTTTGAGACAAATCACTTTCTTAAAGCGATCTTCAGAGCTTGCCTAAAGCTGAGAATGAAGAAATATAAATAGAATGAAACGTGCATTGCATGTGAAGCGCACAAGCTGCAGTAATTGTGATTATTATCATATATGTATTTCAGCTGTTCGTAATAATATGAACGATCGTAATTTTAGCAGCCGTTAGTTATGCTTTCTGTGAATAAAAATAGTTAAGTTAATGACACTGATTTCAGCGGCACAAGGCGAAAAATATATGCATGGAAATTTTTACGCTAAAGCATTTAAATAATTATGATCACTGATCCATGATTTAGTTGTCAGTGAGGTAAAGTGCAGAATACAAAACCTGGTAAATTTTGGTATACGCGTCGTACTTAGGTTTTCAACACGCTCACAATTGAAAATATTTCGACCTCCCTTGTCTAGAGCTGAAAGTTCAAACTGCTCTCTCTCTTCTCACTTAGCTTTCAATCCGCGCTTTTATTTGAGTCTCATTCGCATGAATGAAACATTATATGAGTTATAACAGTAATAGGAGTAAATGCTGCGCACGCTGGCAATGTCAATGGGTGACTAGGCTAGAGCGAGCATCCAGCGAAAATTCTTGTTCTCACGACTTGCTTTGCTACCATCTTCTCTACGACCGCCGGCATGTTGAATGTAACTGCTATATAAGTGCCCATATGGGTGTGAATACTTATTTTCATGCCCATATACATTACTACAAACATATGTGTATCTGGAGAGCGCGAGCTGTTTGGTTAATTAGATTAAAAAACTGAACTCGACCTCAAATAGAATGAATAAGTGCAATTTTATTAAGTTAATATGTACTCGTATATGGATATGCGCCTATAAGAATGATGGTTGTTGTTGCCACGGTGATTCCGAAGTTGAAAAAAATAAATAAATTTATTATTTAATTAAACTATATAATTATGATGTTGAAATATAATAATTAAATAAGGGGCATATCATAAAATTTATGATATTTAAAAGTGGCGAACAACTCAAGATTGATTAATTAGCCCAAGTAAATGCCAACATTATTTTTAAATAAATAACGTAGGCATATAATTAAAAGACAATGTGATAACGAATCTTTATGAAATTCTCAAATAACCCATTTAGATAAAACTCGCTGGTTTGACTGCTGCAAAGAATGTAGTATAAATATACCATATATGATTAACATATTGTTAATGATTCAAATGACGTGGTTAAAGTAACAAATTTCTTCAATTAATTTTAACGATATTTAATTTAATTAATTATTTTTCTTTTATTTAATATTGATTAAATTTAGTTTGTTTTTATTTTTAAATTTTATTTTACTTTATTTTATTTTGCTTTATTTTATTTTATTTTATTTTATTTTATTTTATTTTATTTTATTTTATTTTATTTTATTTTATTTTATTTTATTTTATTTTATTTTATTTTAGTTTATTTTATTTTATGTTATTTTATTTTTTTGTGTATTTATTTATGCTCAGAAAAACTATCGGAACTCATTTCTGCTTGTTTAAGCGCTGTGACCATTTATTTCAATTATTTTCTCTCACAATTTATCGCTCGATCTGCCGAGATTTTCCAATTGATTTCGAGATCTATTCATTAACACTGAACTACAAACCAGCAACATTAAATGTATAGCCAAAGAGGCAGCTAGAAAATCCACCATAAAGAAAATATGTAAAGAAAACGACAGCTAGGAGTACAAAAACAAAGCTTAGCAATAAAAAAGCAGACAATGACACGTGAATCATAAGTTCGAGCGGCATGGATGCTTGTTATTGAAGTGGGAGTTCAAGCGCACCAAAGCGATGTAAGTAGTTATGAGGTCTTGAGAATTGTTTGAAAAAAAAAAATTAATCATAATAATGAAGTGCAACTGTTGATATGTAGTAACTTTTTTTGTGTGTATCTATAAAAATAATATCAATAATCTAAGGCGCCAAAAATTGTTACAGAAGTCAATTAGTGGTTTCCGGCCAAAAAAAAATATCATATATATATGTATATATACAACATAAAATTAAAAAAAAAATATATATATATAAAAAACTCAAAAATTATTTTCCGCCGTTAATGAAGTCAGTATCACCCCCATAACTCCTAATTTTGGACGCTCTTTGCATTACTTCCTTTGCGGCTGTTGATTGGTGCTGTCGCTGGAATGACTGATGCGCTTGTTTTACTTACTCACATACAAACATACATATCTACATATATAGTATGCAGTTATTTCATGTGGTAGGCGGAGGGTCAGTTAAAAGATCAACAAAAAGTCGTTAAGTTATAAAGTTAAGTAGGAGCACATTCACTTATGTACATATGTATACACATACATATATCCATTTTTTATAAGTTTGCTTGTATTTTTTAAGTTTATGCAGCAGCCATGACAGCGAAAGGCGTGCGAACACTTGTCAGTCAACGCCAAAGTCATTGTGGGTACATTAATGATTTTCTGTTGTAGTTATAGTTGTTGTTTTGCCTAAATTACTGTAATGACACTTCCACGCTGCTTATAACTGCTCGACAACTGTCTTGAAAAAGGGCAAAAATATAACGGTATTATATTTTTTGTTAAAATGCTCACCAACCACTTCTGTCAGGCAATACTTTGTTATAAGTTTGTATGTAATTGCATATTCATTTACTTAATTCTCATTTCCTTTCTTCATCTTCTTCTTTCTTTAAACGCTTTTTGTGACTAACTGATCACCGAGCATCTTGTGGAACCTAAGCTAGCTCTATTGTTCTTATTCTATTGTATCTTCTTTTCTCTACAAACTTACTACTTAAATAAAAGCTTCCAAAGCTCGAGAGAGCTTTTTATTATTATTCTGATTCTCTTTTAATTATAAACACAACTACAATGAATTTCAGGTAGGCGAAAGAAAAGAGACTTTTAGTTAACACCAAATTATATCAGGCGACAGACAGACAGAGTCAGGTCATGGTTAGGCGTCTGACCTCTAGAAAGATTCCATTTTGCACAGGCAAGAATGTGGGAGAAAAACTGCCTCCGTCAAGCACGCTCAACTAGAGAGCATACCGCACAAGCTCACTACAAATTTACAGAACCTCAGCATAAGCCTAGGAATGAGCGCCGATTCTCTTGCTGTAAGAAGAAAAAGTTGTTTGTGGACAAAGGATAATGGACCCAATCACCTATATAGAAAAGGCTTAGGTCGTGATTGACTACCATAACAGATCGGAGAACATGATATATCCAATCCTTATAGTTTTTGTTCAAGAAAATTGCTTTTGTTTTCTTTTTAAATAAGCTATTTTTTCTATTTGGTTTTTATTATTTAACACAAATAAATTAATAATATTTGGACACCCGATTCACTCCATAATAACCATAAATACGTGTTGAGTCATCGCGCGTCTTGCGCTTTTTCACTGGCAATTGCTTGAAGAGATCAGCCACGGCAATTGTCGCGAACGCCGCCAAAATAAAACCCAAAACTCCGCCCGCCAAAATATCCGTCCAATGATTGTGATGCGTGTAGAAACGCTCGATTGCCACCAGTGCGGCCAACATGACGAAACCAAATTGCAGCAAAGTTTTCAACAACAAAAACACACGCGCTGCAAGACGCGCCTGCAGGTAGAAAACAATGAAGAACATGGCATAGCAGACAGTCGAGGTATAACCACTTGGAAAGGATTGACGCGCCATAGACAATAACTCCGCGGAGGCAGCAAGTTCATAGCATTCATAATCCTCAATGTAACCGCCAGTGATGGTGCTAGCATTTAGCGCTTTTGGCACATCAAAACGCTCACAAGCCAAGCCACTACCCAAAGTCTCCAATAGTTGCGGTTGACACACATCGAAGAAGTAGGGACGCAAGCGACCAACAAAATTCTTGGTAGCGCGCAAAGCAATTAGCACCAGCGCCAGGCCGAAGAAGTAGACGCCCACTATTTTGTAGCACTCACTAACAAAGGTGGGTATGTTAATACCGACGAATATGAATTGTTGTACGCCTGTGCGCTTTGCACCCGTTGTGACTGTGTTTCCATTCGCGTTACCTGGATTTGTTTTGCGCGCGGCGCGCACTGCCGCCCACAACATCTCCACCACCAACATAACAGCAGCAGGCAAAGCAATCACAGCTATAGTGATGTGCACGCGGTTTAACAGCGAAGCGGTGTAGGGATAGCGCAATGAGGTGTCGCTGCAAAAGAAGCCGCGACGCGTGGTGGGCAATAGTTTGGGTAGCGCCACTAGCGCGACGCAACAGAGCGCAATTAATATAACAACATCGATTATGAGACGCTGCAGCAGACGGGAACTTGGTGTTTTACACATTCTTGTAGCGCGGCACGAGGCGTAGGAAAATGTAGAGAAAGCGCGCGTTAAGAAGGCGTGTTGCTGGGAACGAAGCGCCTAAGTTATTCGGAAGTTTAAAACGCAAAGTCCTTCTGCGTTTTAAATTTGCGTGCTTCACTTAACTGCTGGTTGGTTGATTGTAATTTGCTGTAATTTTTCCGTTATTCTATTATTAATTTCTTTTTTTTTCAGCGTTTCCTTTGTTTTTATTCTAATAGATCTTTCTTCACTTGCATGTATTCTTAATCAAACAAATAGTCAAATAGTTTTGGTAAGCGTTAATAAAAGCGCCTGCTAGACGCGTCGAAGTGGCACCAAAGACTAAAGCAACGAACTTGTCGAAATTTGTGAGAACGCGTCGCGACGCGTCGCCGTGAGGAAGATCAGCAAACAGATAGTTGGAACTTATTCGAAAAACCATTAAATTTCCATATGAATATCGTACCGAATTTGAATATTTTGTGTCGCTCATCAGCGTTTTGGTTTTGTAAATGTTGTTGACAAAAAAAAAGATAAACATTAAAATTAAAGAAAATAAGGAAAAATGCAGATGAAATAGTTCGAAATAAAACCAAATTTAAGCTCAAGCGGCAAACTACAAAAACAAAATATAAATAAAAGCTAATATATACATAAATAGCGCAACAACAAAGTCAATAGCAGCAATAAAAATATAAATAAATTGTTGACAACAAATATAAAAACAACGACAGCAGCGTTATTGTACTGATACAACAACAAAAGCTATTTAGCCAATTATTATAGCGGAGAAACAAAGTAGCGAACCGGCTTTTTTCGTCGCTAAGCGTATACACGTATATGTCGGTTTGTACGTGCAACAAGCAAATGAACGCGCGTTGCTAACAAAAACAGCGGTTATATGAATATAGCAGTACAACAGTAGGCGAAGAACAACAAAATAAGCTATTAACAATAATAGCACAAAGTATTTCCAATAACAACATAAACCTACAAAAATAACAATAAACAAAAATTTACAACAACAACAACAACAGCATGTAACACTACACTTGAAAAGCATTAATCGTATTGAACACCCAAATTCAGTTTTTGTGAATAAAGAAAAACACAAAAACAACAAGAAAAATATAAAAAACAACAACAACGATATGGTAAAAAAATATTTCTCAACAATTGAATTAACTTCACTGCAACAAAGGTAAACATTGGTTTTAAATGTCACATACAACAAAAACAATAAAAACAACAACAATAACAGCGAAAATAACAAAGCGTTCCCATGAAATTTAAATTCCCAGGCATAAACTTGTTCAGCTAATCTAAGGCTATCGATACGCCAAGTAATTGAATTTTGAAGCACTTCACTTACCAAAAGACCCGTTAGGAAACGTCTTACGAGACCTCTCCAATACAAAGTTGTTCGTGGTTGGTTTACGAAACAACCAATATTTTTTCTTTTTTCCTTCCGATTTGTAGAATTTTGAGCCAGTTCAGTGTTAGTTGGATTTTGGATTTGTACTGTCTGAAAGCAGTTAAGGAATATCATCTATGCACTTTCTTATAAGCTGTCTTGCTCTCATACGTTTAGCGATTTCTCTCTACCACACCTCAGTGGCATTCTCGTAGGACGATTGTTGCGCTCTGGCGGAGATGCTGGCTAGGTCATGTCATCCGAATGGATGAAAGCACTTCAGAGGAAGAGGAAGACCTCCAGCCCGCTGGAATAATCAGGTTCTGGGTGCGTTATAATTCAGGTGCCAACCCCAATCAAGGAAAAGAAGAAGAACTAGCTTAACTGAAAATATAACAAGTCTTATTGGAACATATAATATTTGATTTTCTCTTTTTGGAGAGGAGGGATCTTACTGATTTTTTAATTAAGAGAACAAATTCAATGAGTAATTAAAATGATTATTGTGGGGACAAGGAAAAAATTGCAAAATATCACATAAATATAATTTTTTAAATATTTTTATTGTATACAAATAAAATCTCTGGAGTACCATCATTAATAGAGAGCCTTATATATAGTATATGGCAATTTATGAACATCCGTTGGAACAACGAAACGATTGGTCATTCCAAATGACGATATATCAAAAAACGCAAAGAACCCAACGCCAGCTAAACTTCTAAGACCGCTTAGGGTCTTGTTTTGAGTCACAGAGAGAGAGAGAGAGAGAGAAAGAAAGAGCCTAACACATCATTGTTTGAGTCTGTTTTGCGGCAAACAGAGAGAGAAAGAAAGAGAATGATGGCGAAGACCTAAGTGGCTTTAAAAGGTGCATTCTGGGATTTTTGTTGGATAATTTAGGTTACCTTGGAATCGGATTGGTGTTATCAGGTGCTGAATGTATTCGGTTGCCTTATTTAGTTAACATTTTGATATATATTTAAAATATTCATAAAAAAATCTCTAGTGGATCGAATTAAAAATTTAAGATGTTTTTAAAGTTTTTTTTCTTTTCTTTAAAATTATCCCACCTGTTGACCTCACAGCTCCACTTCAACTTTCCCGCTTACCATTTCGGAAAGCGACAAATGCAGATCAGCAGATAAATTAATGTAAATTAATAACTTATTTAAAATGCGAACAAAATTCTTCGGTACGACAACACTAAGGCAGAGACTAAAAGCTTGAGAAATTCAATGAATATTCCAACAAATAAAATTACAAAATTAACTAAGCAACATGCCCGTAAATAAGATAAGTCGAAGAATGCGGTTTGGAAAGTGGCGGCGGTGGTGCTGGAGCTGGCCAAAACAGCTAACAAACAACAATTGCAACACGTGGTGAACAAACAAGATTGGTCAAATACACAGACAACCGAATCTAATCGGTGGAGAATAAATGACGAAGAGACGAAAGCGTCAAGGGACGCGCCAAACGCCAATACAATTGAGCTCTTATGAGTAGCTATATACTAATGCAACTCAAAAAGGTGTTGAACAAGTAAACAACGTGTGCGCATTAAGGCGGGGGAGCGCTTGGTGGAAGCTGTAAAATTTTTTTATGTTTTTTTTTTTAATTTCTTGCAAATACGCTGACGTTGCTTTACTGGAATTTTTACTGAAAACAATTTTATTCGTATTCTTTTTTGTATATTTTGCTAATAGAAGTTTTCATTTGTTAATTTTAGATTCTTTTTCTTGGTTAGCTCATCAATCTCAGCTTTGTTTGGCTAACTGTACGTGTCTTTGGTTAAATCGGTTGAATAGCGGTTTTGCAATTTTCTGAAAGAATTTTTCACAACGCTCAATGACCTTTACATTGTTTGCCTCCAAAAAAAAAAGCTTTAACAATGGGCATATAAAGAAGGTATTAGCCAAAATTTTTAAGCAAAATCAAATTTTTTTTCCAAAAAGTTTTGTCTTTCAAAATTTATCTATTCTACAGAAATAATATTCTCGGCCTTTTCGAATTTGCTTCTCATTCATAATTTATGCAAATTACTCTCAACAGATTTATGCGCGTGCGCGCATAGTTAGTTCAGTCTTTAATTAGCTTGTGATTTGGCGCTAATTTTTGGCAGCTGGTTGTCTTGCCACAGGGTTTTACAAGCTTGTAAAAACACAATGAAAATGTAAATATGAATATATATCCAGTCATTATTTTATATTATTTCACATAGCTTTCGTCATCATCAGCGCTTCTACTTCAAGATAAAATTTTGTAATTTTTAATTTCCCAATATGCGAAACCCAAACCACAGACAGCATCAGTGTCAGTTAAGCTGAAAAATACTGTTAACCCGCAAGCACCTTAGCAAGCATGTATTGGTGAAAGTCGAAGTTGCTGTGATTTTTTCAATCGATTTCCGAAAACATGATTCATTAGCAGATTATGCGGAACATTTTGGAAAATGTGAGGCGCTTTTGGGCAAAAATTTTAGGTCAAAAGTCGCAGAATAATTTTTCTGGCGTTAACAGCGTCTTTACCTAAAGTTTTGCATATAAGAGGAGATTTCTTAACAAAGTTGGAATTAAAAAAAATATAGTTTTTAATAGTTTTAATTTCTTATTTCCCGTAATATATTCCCATATTATTTTTTTTTATAATACTTTTTTATGCTCATTTTTAGCCATTAAATAAAATTTTCTTTAATACCTGACTTTTATTTTATTTTATTTTTTTTTACATATTATTTCAGTTCAATTTTTTTTGTTTTACTTTATTTAGATTTAATTTTTTCTTAATTCCTCAAATTTATTTCATATTACTCATATATAGATATTTTAATTTTTATTTTCATTGTTTTTAAATTTTTTAGTTTTAGGTATTTTATTTTATATTTTTTTATTTATCTTTTTATTTATTGAATTTATTTTTTTTATTTTATTTCGCTTAATTTTTTCATTAGATTTAATTTTTAATTGATTAATTTCTTTATTTTTATGTTTTGAAAACTGAACAACCGTCACTGACCTATGCCACTAAGTGTTCAAATTACTCATTATTATATATGTTTGTAAGTAGTTTTAGCATGCCGTGCCCTCCTCAAAGGCTCATAAAAAGAGTGGAATGTGATAAGTGAAGTAACATTAGCGCCTTTAAATGAGGCATGAAATACACATCATTGAGGAAAGATGACGCGGCGGGGTAATGGGTTTTTATAAACCCAAAATGGTTAGTCACGCAATGGGTTCTGTAAGCTTGCTTTGTCTGAAGTTCTTATACATCTTCTGATGATCATAAAGTAACATATTTACTATTAGTTTGCATTTTTTTTTCACAATAAGCTCTTGATTGCCACTGCTCATCAGCCATTTGTCTTCGGCTTCGTCTTCTTTGTTACTTTGTTCTATGAATAAACCCACTCACCGTCTGCATATTTTCTATTGCATAAACAATAAAACAAACACGTTTAGTGGCATTGCTTAAAAAATTAATTTCAATTAAAAATAATTATGAAGATTCTATTTTAAAAATTTTGTTATGCAAAATTTCAAGTGAATTAATTAACTGACTTTGATTGCGGACAAGTGGCTTAAGTTGGTAGCCAAATCTGGAAATTTTGTGAAAAAACTTGTTTTACCTCAACAATAATATGGGGGTTTTAGAGGTTTTCCAAAAATACTCTTAAGGCTTTAATAGCATTATCTTTGAAAAAAATTTTAATACTTTGATTATTGATAAAAATTATTAAAAGCTCTCTGGAATATCAAACTTATTAAAATCTTAGATGCTTGCAAAGTTTTTTTAAAATTTTAATTTTTGGTTTTGAGAGTTTTCTGAAACATTTTATTGCCTGATATGGAACAGAGTTTCTCAAAATTTGGTAAAAGTTTTTTTTTCATTAATTCGTTTTTGTTAATTTGCAGTTTTATTCCTGTCCTCACTTCAGAATATTTTATTCGATTATTTCTATTCTAAATTTTTTGTATATTTTCTGTTTTTCTCCTCGCTACAAGCATTTTCCATATTCAATAATTTCACAATATTTATTTTCAACATTTACATCACACATCTTGAGACACGTGCCTTCTTTCCGACAGCGGTTTGTACATTACATATTTACTTATTATTAATTTATTACAACGAAAATGACTATAACCAAGCCGACATATGAACATTTGTGACTGGAAAACAATGTTTCCCCATTCGCAGTCAAGCGGCAGGCAGTAAAACAAATGATAAAAGTCACAATGTTTAGTTTAGTTATACCTTTGCTAAAAAAAAAAAAAGAAATAAAAGACACAAAAAGGCTGCCAATCGTATTTATTCAAGCATAAATGTTGGACAAACTTACATGTACTGCAAAACATGTTTACTTATATTAATACGAAGGTACTTACCCGCTCAAAAAAAAGCAACAACACAACTATTTTTTTTTCAATTCTGTTTTATTTACTCAATTGGTTTGCGCGAGCAAAATAAAATAATTAAATAAATACAATTCAACTATGTATGTGCTCATGCATATGTATGTATGTATATAATGAATTAATTCAATTTATGAATACAAATTGCTATACATATATGCAAACTAATTGAGTAGTAAGTCGAAAACACTTGTTACTTGAAATAAAAGAGTGGAAAGTATAGAATATTATCCATTTTCTTAGCAAACAACTTTCTGCCTTTTTTAATTTTTTCATTTTATTGTACAAGTCTACCATTTGTACTGTAAATAGGTATTTATGTTACTTCAGCGTCTGCGCTATCTTGTGGATTTTATAAATTTAGCACATTTGTATTGCTTATGTTAAATTAAAAGAAATTTTAATTTTGGAGACTTTTTTGGAGACTTTCAAAATTTATATTTTTATGCCTTTATGACTTATTTTACGTCAAGCGAAGTAATTTATTTCAATTCTGACTGCGTAAACTTTTTTGGAGACTTATCGAAACACTTTGTTTTTGCATGATTTTTCTTTATAAGGGTTTATCTGTTTATTATAGATTATTAAAACATATGCCATGACTTGTGACTTGAATATTAGTATAAATATTTGTAATAAGGTCGTCAGTATTTCCGAAACGATACTCAGTGTAGAGAGAGTTGATATGGTTTTCAATATAATTATTTAACTACCATGAGTTCTAGAGGTCATTTTCTCCCGTTTTTTTTTTTCAAATCTTATGGCTAATGCGATAACCGATAAATGCTGTGTTACTGCTTTTGAAGAATCCATCACGTATTTTTAAATTACATTCACAGCAGGCCAGTGAAGGTCTCACGTGCGTGTCCAGCGGGAGTCAATAGTGTGAGAAAATAAAACAAAAATTTCTAAAAGGACTAGATTTAAAGACGTCATGAGCAAAATTGACAGCATTTAGTTCTTTCATTTCAAAAGTTAGAGGTTCAAAAAAGAAATTTAGCAGAAGCAGTGTGAGGGCAGAAATGTAGAAAAATCAGAAAAATGATTTGAAGTTGTAGTTTGCGCTTCTCCTGAATTTCAACTGCTGCCTAATTAATTTTAATTGTATTTTGGACAACATCTTTTTTTCCAACCAAGGAAGACTAGGTTTAAAATAATTGCTTAAATCACATAACTACCAAAATTAATTTACAATTTCTATTGTCGAATCTAAAAATAATTTCTATAATTTCCCTAAATTCTTTAATTTCCGATTATAAAATGCGCAAACCTGAAAAAAGAGACATTAAAATGAATTGATAAATATTTGTTTTTGCTAATATAACAATAATTGTACTTTTTTATTAAAATTTTTTTTTATAATTTTACAAAGCTGCATTTAAGCTCATTATTTTTTTTATATATATAAATAAATATATTTGTATAATTCTTTATATACGTGTATTTTACAGACATATATAAATAGACTATGATTTCTACATATGCAAATATGTACATATAGACAATTGAAAAATGAAATAGAAATGAATAACTAGTATTTCTTATTCCTACCTAGGATAGACAAAAAACAAACAAAAATTAAAATGTTACAAATATGATTTGATGAAATTTAATAAAATATTTTAACTATTAATGATTTATTCACATTATCAAAACTTAGCGAAATATTTTTAGACCATTTGTAAGCATTATTAAAAATTCAAACAATATTTTGAATACAGATTTATCACAAATCGAGTGATAAGTGATGTTTTCATTAGTGTAGACTTTTTTGGAGACTTTAAAAAATTCGTCTTGACTACTCTAGAGTTATTTCATACATATTTTGATTAAGAAGCAAACACATGGTGATGTTTTCATTTGTGTAAACTTTTTTGGAGACTTAAGAGATTTAAGTCTTAACAATCGAGGGTTTTTTTAAACTTAAATTTCATTAAGAATCAAGTGATTAGTGAGGCGTAGGCTTTTTTTTTTTTTGGAAAATGTTTTGGTTTTAAATTGACTCGGGTTATAAGTGACGATGTCGACTTAATATATAAATTTTACTTCTATTGTCCATACATTTCATCTTTATATAGAGCGCGTACTACTAATTCAAGCGATTAGCGGTAATGTTGGTTTGTCTAATTAGTTACAATTAGCATTTGACTGAGCAGTTAAAGACCTCAACTAAAATCGTTCAGCTGAAAAGCTACTGCATTTTGTACAATTATATACATTTTATGTACATACGTATGTATGTATATATAGTGATTCGTAGAATTTCTCTTTTTTCTGCACACAAATTCCCCAATGCCACATGCGTGCATCGCTTGCAAACTTAAATTAAAAAATCAAACAAAATTAAAAAAAGAAAACATTAAAACAATAACAAAACTGCAACGTCTTTCGGCTTTCACTGCAATTTAACTGCATTTCGAGTTCAGTTGTTTTTATTCAGTTATTTTTTTTTTTGCGTAAATTTCCAACAACAATACCACATAGTTTGCTGCCAAACGTGCAATTTACAATAAATCTTCCTTTCCTCCTCCGCCATTGCCCACTTTACGGCACGTAACCGTAGTTATGGTATGTCTGACCGTAGGCGGCATGATTCGGTCCGTGATGTTGCAAATACGGCACACTGCCAAAAGTGTACGCGGGCAGCACTGGCGTCGCCGACTGCGCAGACGCTACGCTGGAGTGCACCAAGATTTTCGCCGGCGCCGAAGACGATGTGCAACGGCCCTCGAAAAACTTGGCTACATAACGTGCCACCAGCCAGGCGAAGAGCGTGCCCAAGAGCATACCGACCAAGACGTCGGACCAATGATGCCAGTGATCGTTGATGCGTGTCAACGCAACATACCAAGCCAGCATGACAAAAGCGAATTGTAGTAAGTGCTTAAGCAACTTGGAGCCGCGTGTGCTGAGCGCAACTTGCAGGTAGAAAGCGATGTAGACCATTGCATAGAAGACGGTTGAGGAGTGTCCACTTGGGAAGGACATTGCCATTTCGGCCATCATACGTTGACTCACATCGGCGTCGCATCTGTAGTCGTTGAAGTAGTGGCCTTGATTGTGTTCGAACTCACAGTTTGAGCCATCACTCAAGCGGGGCTTACAAATGGTAAAGAAGTATGGGCGCAGACGTCCGATGCAACGCTTTGCAATCTCCGTGGCGATGAGTGTCATCAGAAAGCCGAGTAGATAATAGCCAATTTGTGCGTAAATGTGTTTCCAGCGTCGTCCGCAGTGACAGGACTCGTCGGCACCGTCGTGTGAGGCATGTTGTTTGTTGCTGCGACTCTGCGAGAGTTGACGAAAGAGCTCAACTATGAAGATCACAAAAAACGGTATGCCAAAAATGATGATGCAAAGCGATACCACGCCCACTGTTTGCGAGGCGACGTAGGGATACTCCAGCGACTCGTCACCGCAGAAGAAACCGCGCTTTTGTGGCGGCATCCATTGTCGGAGCGCGAGCTCAACACCTATGAGTATGACGAACAGGAGTAAGTCTATGAAACGACGTAATGCGACCATGGCTGACATTTTATGGGTAGTCAAATCAATGGAGACTAGGCTCAGTAGTAGACTGCTCTAAATTTCAGAAAGTTTAGGCTTTTCGTGGATTTTTCTCCGGTTTTTCAGTACAATATGTTTATTGCTTATTTTATTTTATTTACTTATTTTTCTTGCAGTTTGCCAATGGAGTTGGTTTTTTTTTTAAATTATTTTTAACACTTTGGAAAACATGGACTTTGTAGACTTTTTTGGAGAGTTTTCCTTTTAATGAATTTTTCACTTTTCGCAACAAGGAAATAAATATTCGTTAATTTCAAACTGCTTTTCAGTTTTAACTAACTTTGGAGAGTTTGTAGACTTTTCAACTTTTAGTTATTAGACTTTATTTCAAGCAATTTCCACCTCAATCGTTACTTTTGGTGTATATATTTTACATTTGCGGTATAATAACGACTTTCAAATATTTATTTCCGTTTTATGTTTAAATTACCGAGAACCTCGCACCTGACACCCTTACAGCAGTTTTTTTTTCTATTATTTTTTATTACTGTCGTCAAAGCTTCGAGTTACTTGAAATTCAATTTTCTACTGTGTGTTTGTTGCAATTGCCAACAGGTCTTTCTCATTAACTCGCTGAATGTAATTGTTTAAAAACAAACAAAAATCGCAGATTAATTAATTAAACTTTTCAATTTTAGGTCACATGTGTAGCTCAATACTTGCATCGTTATTTTAATTCTATTTTTTTTTTGAAAATTTTCGTTTATATTTCTTTATTTTATGTTTTTTTATTTATTTTTTTTTTAAGTCCGCAGAAAATTTCTTCTCCTTCAGCGCCACAAACACTCAACAGCGGCCGCATTCAACTGTTGTCGCCTAACAACTGCCCAAAGAACCTGTTAATTTGGCACCGTTTTGCACTGATCGCCACCGATTTTCGCTCGTTCATATAATATTTCTGTTGCCGCTTCGCACAACACGCTCAGGCCGCGCTTTAAAACTGACTGAAAAACCTATTCGCTTATAAAATTGTAAATACAAATTGAAATCGGCGCTGCTGCCTCAAAAACACCGGTTGGTGCGCCAAGCACGGCAAGTAGGCAAAGCCAGCAGGTTTCGATGCTTCATTGTTATGCTTCATTATGGTTATTGGCTTTGCTTGTGTGTAGGTTATTGTGATTGTTGTTGTTGTTGTTAGTTTTTCTTTATACTTGCTGCAGTTGGCATGCCAACAAAACATTACTGAAAACAATAAACACAAAACTGGCAAAAAAAAAAGAGAAAAAATCTGCCAAAACGAAAAAAAAGAATCTGTTAGCAGAAAAAAGTAAGGAAGAGCTGCATAACAGTCGAACGGAATGTGTGACACCTGTAGCTTATTTCTATTAGAGATCAATTGGTGGTAGGTGCAGATGTAACCTGCCATCTTTACTTTCATTCAATTCGGTATTTCAAACAAATTTTCGGTTTTTAAATTTTATCTCTTTAAATACATATCTGAGAATATTATTGCAAATATTTTTAATTGAAACGAAGGCTCCTCATTTACAAATCTCTTTCTTTTTTATCAAAGGTATTTGGCAACCCTACAAAAAATTTAATTGCATTAAGTTATCTTACTTTTTAGTATATGGTTGTGTGCAAGTGGAATTCATATACCTTGCTATACATAAAATACCTTTTGTCAACGATTTTAAATAGGTGGCCATATTTTATTTTAGTGAACAACAAAATAATCCGACTCGTTTTGGCGTTCACAAATTTTATCGTAAGCAACGTCAGCTTTTCATTGTAAATTTCAATTTATGTCAAGCAGGTGGCAAATTATTATTTTTACGAAATGTTAAAAAAAAATTTAAAACTCTCAGACCTTTTCAAATGTAAACCTTTCTGAAATTCCTCATAATAAAATATTAAGTGACAACACTTTCCGAATATTCGACAACTGCAGGCCTTGAAGAAGGCTTAAAGCATGTTAACATGGAATTTAAAATTATATGAAAATTTCGATACGTCCAGTGAAACATTTTCTTAATCCCTTGTATACAATACAACTGGGTATAAAAACAACAACAACATCAACAACCTGCAACGCCAGCAAAATACAAGTTAAATTTGTTTTTGTTACCGTCTTTTCTCCAATTGAGTTTGAGCGAGAACAAAAACACCTCGACCAACTCAGTTGTTCTTTAGCACTTTTACATGCTCAATGGTTCTTTACACACACACACCCACACATACATGCACGCAACGCTAATCGGTCACACAGCTTCTTCCCTGGTTACTGCGCCAAGCATGTTTTCACCCAAATATACGCAAGCAACCAGTTAAACAAAAAAAAAAAAAAACAAAGTAAGACTCTTACTCACACGCACACACACATATACTCATACTTACACCGGTACTGCAACATCAAGTGGTCACGTACATGTATTTGCTCTGCTCAGCCATTATCAACGTCGAGCATATTTGTAAGAATTCAATGAACAGCGCATTCGTATGTTTAATACATTAACAAAAGAAAAAAACATGTTTTGTTTATTTCCCCCAATACGCGTTTCACCTGCCACCAATCACGCGCTGGAACGAACGATCTTTCGTTTAACTCGATCATTTATATTTAACAGTTTGCCATTCAGGTCTGTTTGTTCGTCTCTGTTTTTGTTTGCCAATTGTTAACACATTTTTTTCTTTCTCGGTTTCACGTGAGGTTCACCTGCGAAATGACAGACGTTCAAGTACGACAGACAGACGGGTTTCGCAAACAAATGCAAGAATTTACAGAATTTTTATGAGCAACGCCAATGACGGTGCGCAAACAAAACATTTGGCAGGTACTTCGGTGCACTGTGAGAAATTTGTGGATGAAATAAATTTATTAAACATTCATTTGAAACCAGGAATAGCTTAAGACTCAGCTGGAGTTGGTTTAAAAAACCTTCGTAAATAATCTCTAATGCAAAAAAAGGGCAAATATCTCATGCCAGCTAAATTCTTCACAGAAGCGATGCTGAAAATTTCCCGTCATTTGCCGAATTAATTAAGCATTGTTTTTCAGAATAAAAATGAAATTCGCCACTTTTATATTATGGGAAATTTGTTCTAAAATTAAACTTTGTTGTAATGAAGAATTTCTTTCCAGGTAACTAAGCTAAGCAATAGCTTCACACACATCACATATTTTTTCCTAAGAAGCGATCGCTGTAAAATCCACTTGCCTCTTGATTGCTAGTGACTGCTGGTTGTTGTTGCAATTATTTTCATTGCCACATTGCTGCATTTTTCAAGTAATTTATTTAACGCGCAGTTAAGTGATTTTTTGATTAAAACTCATACATACTCACAAGCATACTTATATATGTAAGTACACACTTATATTAAAGGCAACAATTGAAAAGCTTCCCCATACATGGCAGGGGATATCCCATGGAACGCTTAACTAAAACTTGCTCACACAATGATAACTGACATTGCCTTTGCCAGGTATTAAGTGTCATTGTCAAAGCAGAATTCATATTTTTTGTTTGCAACCCAGTGGTGTTAAGAGAGAGTGCTGTTCTACAAAATATTTAGATGCATATGCATGTATATATATATATATTTAAATCAAAAAGAAAAATTATAGATTATGAAATAAAAAAGAAACTAAAATAACATAAAATAAATGATAAAGAAAAGAGAGATAAAATTAATTAATTTACAGTAAAAACAAAAAAAATTTAATAAAAATTAAATTAAAATTCAGAATAAAAATAAAATTAAATTAAATAAAACACATATAAAATAAATAAAATGAAACACATATAAACACAAATATTTTTTTTTTAATTATTTGTATAAATTTATAATAAATTCTATTAAAATAAATAAAAATAAAATGAAACAGAAAAAAATTTAAATTAAGTAACTTAAAATAAAATAAAATGGAATAAAATAAAATAACTTATAAAAAAATTAAATTAAATTATACAAAGCAAAATATCAAAAATAAAATTAAATCGGAAAAATTAACAAAAAAATTAGAGAGCTTCTTATTTATATATTTACAAAGATTTATTTAAATAATGTTTATAATAAAGAATTTAAAATTCTTGAGATAGATTTGCTATTAAGTAATAATTTCTTAATTTAATCAAGAAATTTAGTTGTTCCCAGTTTTGATTTTTTTTTTTATTAAAATCTTTTAGTTTCGCAAAATTGTGGTTTCAAATATTTTTTTTTTTTTCAAAAAAATCAACAAAAAATTATTTATTAAAATATGTTTGGCAATGAGTTTATAATATTTTTTATAAATATAAATATAAGTATTGAATTTTTTTCATTTAAATCTGGATTTTCTTTCTGGAGGTTATAAACATTCTGAAAGAATTTCATAAAAAAGAAAATAATTTAAATAACTAAAATTTTTTCAGTAGAATCAGCGCACTGAAACTGCTCCCCTTGTAAGCAACTAGGTAACCAGTTTATTCTTGCATTTTCTTCTCGTTCACATTACATGCACCTACAACAAATAACAAACAACAAATAGCCTTCGCATAAATTAAAACACTCAACAACAACAAGCACTTTTCAATGGCAGCACATGCGGCGAAGCGTTGCAAATCGGAAGCAGACTTGAACAGATTACGTTTGCTGCCACAAAAAAAGTGCAATACAAAATAAAGCAAATAAAAACAAAAATATAAAAAAAACACATAAATGTTAAAATAAAATTTAAAAATCTTGTAAATAATACAAACAGTTGAATAAACATTGGGCGCCGCCGTCACCGACGTAATCAATCATGTTTTTTATTTATTGTGGAGTATCAGTTTTTTTTCTTTCTGTAAGTACAGTTACTTGTGAGAAAACGCAAAGTTTGCCGGTTACACGTAATGCAGAAAACCAACTCGTATTCGCGTGGTAGGGGATTTCCGTTTCAATACTGAATATTAATAAATATAATCAATGTTTTGGTATTTATAACTCGAACTATTTTGTTATATTTTTTCTGATATCACTTTCATGCTAATTTTAGCATTTTTATGAGTTAATAGTTTTATCTTTATTTTGGCAAAATTAAAAAATTAAAATGCAAGCTTTTCTTTCATTTGAATTCTGTAATTTGCATTTAACAATAAATTAACGTTAAGCTATTAGTTTGCTAATTGTTTTATTAAGTGGAAACTAAAAAAGTATCTTAGTGAAATTATTGCATTTAAACAAGCTAAAAAGTAAAACAATAAAGCTTTAGTCAAACGTATTCAACCGAAAGCTTTTGTGTGTGAATAAAAGCTTTTTGCTTAAAATACTAAAACAAAGCTTTCTAATGATTTAATTAGAAGACCTTTGTAGCCATTTATAATGATTACTGTGTAACAAATCGAATTGAAGACTTTTTTATTATGAAATAAAGGTTTTGCTATAGAAAAAAGATTTTCCTTCTTTTGTGTGCATCAAATAAAAGATGACTATTTATTAATTAATTGTTAAACTTTATGAATAACATACTGTAAATATTAGTAACGCGAAGAAGACTACTTTTGAATCATGTCTTTCATAAATTTTTTATCATTCCTAACCTCACTATGGAAAGTTGCAATAAATAAATATTTATGAGTCAAACAATTTTCACAATGAAAATATTAATATATATATAAATATATACTCGCATATGAATACAAATTATAAATAAAATTGTGACTAATATTTATTAAGACCGATAATTATAATTGCGCACTCAAAGAAGGTAATAGCGGAAAGAAAGTTAAAATATTATTACAATATGTAAATAGATTTATATATATATTTTAATTTGTTGCAACAATTTGCGATAAGTGTAAATAATGATTGTTTAAATATTTTTGATGAACAGTTTCGGAATATTTTATTTAAATATACTAATCTATGAAAAGTAATTTAAAGAAAATGATGTTAAGGAGAAAAAAAGCAATTTTCCAACAACAACAATTAAAGTAATTTGTTTTGAAAAAACTCATAAATAAATTGCCCTTACTATTGATAAAGTAATTAATAT